GTTTTATTCGTTTAGTGCCTTTAATTGCCTTGATATAGTAGCTTCTGGAGATTCAACCTTTAAAACCCTATATCTTTATAGATAATAACAGTTTTATTATTTTCGCTATCAACTGCGGTTAATATATATTCATTTATCCCTTCTTCTTTCTATTGGTCCAGGAACTTTTGAGTGTACCATTTTCTCTTACCTAAGCTCAAGGCCACACACAGAATGCTTAAGTCAGAGCATGTGAATGTGTTCTCTTCCTTTGTATGGGACAATAAAGGCACTCTGCACGAAACCTTTTGAATCTGAATACAGGGAACCGTACCAGTAGCACCTTAAATCACTTTAAATGAAAGTAAAAAGTAAAACACCGTTTTATGTATTCTTTTCCTTGATTACCACCAAAGAACTGCATCTCCAGTTTATTCAGACTGAGTGTAACATTAGGATGACCTCGTCTTTTGTAAAATGTAATAAATCAAGAAACGCACAATATCACTCCTGATCACAGATTCTATACATGAAATGGGATTTTAACTAAAATAACAACAGCAATTTTTAAAAATTTAGGTATCAATTTTAAAATCAATTTATTCCACATAAGCATGAATGTATAACCCTGAACCATTAAAAGTGAATCTAATAAAAAAGGAAAATATTTATTAACGAAATTTAAAAGAATTAAATCAAAGGCATTCACAATTTCTTTTGCTCCTCCTGTCTCTCTGCTAGGTTGGTTTTAGCAGAAAATCGGTATCATATAAGCGACGGTGACTGGCATGAAATCAAGCTTATTTTAACATTTATCAGTTGGCTTTCCTTTAGTCAGAGCGACTGATTAGACTTCAGGAAAATATCTAATTTACATTAAACCTGCAAATAATTATCAAGGAGAGACATGAGGATCCACACTTTGTAAATTGAGCAATTTTCGACACAATTTTTAAAGCACTGAACGCTGCTAAACGCTCGATATTCTCCTGTAAATTGCAGAATGTGTCATTGTGCAACACATGGGAAGTTTCCAACATATATTAAATATTCATGATGAAACTAACATAATTGTAGACTTGTAAGATTGTTCAAATGTCTAAATTTTTCGTTTAATTTCTTGGTTATGAAGCAAAGTCACCTGGTCCAGAATTGATTGACAAAATTTAATTTAAAAATGCGTTGTGAATGGTGTTTATTCACACCCCCTTAATCCGGTCGATCCACCTCCGACACAGGGTTCCCCTTTTCGCAGCATGTCACCAGCCGCGCGAATCCTCAACTCCCCCCTCATTCACACAAATATTTGTCTAAGATTATCCTCACACCTAGGTCTCGATGTTAGTGCATCTATGACTCACACACCTGAGGTATAAATACACACTACACAACGACACCAACGTGGTTGAGCTCTGAAGTATACGTTTGTGTCCACGTCCTCTCCGGCCTTTTTCTTCATCACGGGTATCAAGGAAACGTAATCGGGCCAGAGTTAATTCAGTGGCCCCGGCGTGATTCAAGACCACATGCTGGGGCCCGCAACAATTGGTAACCCCGAATTTAGACGATTATCAGCCTTCTGGTTTCTGAAACATCAACCTCTATTGTACAGTCGTTTGGCGACCTATTAGTATGATTCCGTCCCATCGCTAAGCAAGAATTCATTTCTAGCCACATGTCTCTGGACGCTGCTAAACTCTGGACGATGCCCTTCGACTCCCATCACCTGGCGGTGGCTGCCTATCCTTCTGCGAAAATCCTTCCAGTTTTTTTAGCACAAATCTCTCTCCACTTTTACAACCTGGCCTCATCCATCTGGTCTATATTTAATCAAAATGGCTGTTTCTCTCGACTTTAATTGGCCTCAACTGCTAGCGCTCATCCTGATGATATTTCCGACCGATTCTGTCCCCTGGTTCTCGACTGTCAACCAGACCGAAAGACGTCAACGGTCTTACGATTCGGCATCATGCACTTTTCCAATGATCAATCTTTCAGATATCCAAGTGGTAGGAAAGGTTATATCGGCAACAACGATTCATCTCAAACGACTTCCGAAAGCAAACTACGATGCCAAGTGTTTGAGTAGCCTTCAGCGTACGACAGTCCGCCTCATTTCTACATTAACATGAACCACATTTCGACTGCAGATACCTACGGCCTACCTTTCAGAATCCACATTGAATTATCTTGCTGAGGGAGAGGATTCTCAGTCCGACCCACATCGACAGCCACATCCCAATCACGCGAAACCTAGGCCTGTCTTTCAAAACGCCAGTGGACGAAAAGGTAAGTCAAATCCTCTCGCTGAGGGGTAGAGTTGTTGTGACTCGTGTTTATTCACACCCCGTAATCCGGTCGCTCCACCTCCTACACAGCATGTCGCCAGCCGCGTGGATCCTCAACTCCCCGCACATCAAATGTGTCGTTGTAAGCAAAATTGACAAAATCTTGTGAATATTGTCAAATATTTAAACATAACAAGGAGTTTTTGGGCAACCTGTAGTGCCTATTTTAGGCAAGCATAATTGTGGCACTTCACTTGTAAAATTTGCGTAGGCGAATGAAGTGACAAGCCTTTAGCGTCCTTTTACGACACATGGTCTTTGGTCTTTTGCGAAATGTCACATGTTAATGCAAATGCCAGACGCAGCACTCCGTGCTACCAGCGTTCCGCTGCGAGGGTTTAAAAAACCCGGTTTTTTCTCTAATCAATTTAGCAACTCGTGAGTCATTATTGCATTATATTTCTTTTCCGTGCCACGACAATGATCAAAAAGGCGATGAACCGTTACTGTGCGTTGCGTGTCTATTTGAACCAGTTTGTGTACAGTGTTGATACTGTTGTGACTCGTGTTTATTCACACCCCCTTAATCTGGTCGCTCCACCTCCGACACAGGGTTCCCCTTTTCGCAGCATGTCACCAGCCACTCGAATCCTCAACTCCCCTCTCATTCACACAAATATTTATCTTGGATTATCCTCTCACCTAGGTCTCGATGTTAGCGCATCTATGACTCACGCATCTGAAGTATAAATGCACACGCGCAAACCCCACACACGACACAACGATACCAACGTGGTTGAGCTCTGAAGTAGACGGTTGTGTCCACGTCGTCCTCCACCTCATTTTTCTTCATCGCGGGTATCAGGAAAACGTAGTCGGGCCAGGAACAGTTCTACAATAATAAGCAGAACGAAGAAGACCGGAGAGGGCGAGGCCCAACCATTCACTACCTACCTCAACCACGTTGTGTGTGTGAGTCGTGTGCGCGCATGACACGTGCTTCTGTTGACTGATAAAGTTAAGTGAACCAGTAAGGATACAAACGTCTGATTCGCTACATGGACTAATCGACATGATCAGGCGTTACCGCGTGGATGATTGGCACGCCGTGAAAAAGGGACAGAGCGGATGGACGTGAATCGACACGATTCATTACAGTTCTTCCCCTTAACAAAATAAATAGGTGATTAAGCGAGGCGAATAGTCATCGCCGGATGGTGAAAGAAATGCTTAGCGCCACTGTGCGCTGTCGGAAGACGTTCGAAATGATTGCGCCGCAGGCGATACAACCTTTTCTTCCAGCATTATATCTGAAAGGTTGATCGCAAGGTAGGTGGTGCGTGATGCCCAATCGTTGGCGTAAGATTGTCGGCAGTCGGGAACCAAGCCGAGAGTGCATAGAATAGACCTGAGAGACCAGCGTCGAATGTCGATGCGGCCACAATGACTGGTCGTCTCCGGTAAGTGATAAGAATCGATGCTCATTGGCTAAAGATTAAGTGGCATCCGGAAGTGATTGGGCAAGAGATGAAACCTGGTTGAACTAGGTGGGATCTGAGTGTTAAAGTCAGGCTGGTACAGGTGAGTGTAGAGAGTGAAAGTCGGTTTGAGCGACGTAGAGTGGGGCATGGTTAATGAATAACGGTCACAACGCGATTCGAAGAAGAGTACACTGGCTTGAGGGGTGGCTTATCCATTGGGACTTGAGGGAGACCCAACACGCCACTTAAGTCGTACCGGAAGGTCGAGAAGCGTTCAAATTCGGCGTCACCCATTGTTGGGGGAACCGGTACGTTGACTTAAACCGCGCTGGGGCCGCAGCGTCAAATCTAGCCCGATTATGCTACTCTGGTGCTCGCAAAGATGAAGGAGAACGCAGAGGTCGACACACATCCATTTGCTAGACAGTTCAAAAAAGTTGTGTTGTCGCTTGCTTGCATTACAGGCAGTGGTGGCGCATGCAGAGGGGTGAATGAACAGACGGTCCCACAAGGCTGACGGGCACACCACGACATGCGCCAGGGGGTATGCGAAAACCGAGTTGACGGCCGTGAATCAGCACGATTCACACCACGCACTACAGAAAACGCTGCGATACCTGATGCCGACAATCTGCCTGTGATTTGCCGCGGAACCCCATGTAAAAAATCCGCACGTTTTGACGGAATGAAACAAATTGCACTGTTTCCACAGTCATTTCTCACCTCAAGCGTCAAAAGACGAAACCTTTTCGGGTCAAGTCACTGACAGAAATGATAAGTGGTTTTCGTATTACTGTGTACAAAAAGAAGCTGGATTCATGCCGAGAAATAAAGGTGTGCGGGCTTGTTTAATCAGGGCCATGCAATAACTGCGAAGATGTACTGTGAAATGCGCACCCAATTGGCGTGAAACGTTTAAATTAAGTCAATCAGAAAGGCCTTTTCTGTCACCATGACAACGCTCGATCAAATGTCGCATAATACAGGGGGCAACAACTGGAAACCACGCAGCTTAAACAAAGATGGAATCAGAAACTTGTAAAGTGTTGGGTAACCGAGAGGAGAAATGACTGAGAGTACAACACTGATTAATAAATACCATTGGGAATGCGACATTTCGAAATCACCAAAAATATATTTCAGCCCAACTGCATACCTAGTGAGCCGTGTAGATTCAAAACCCTTAACATCGCGACTCGGCAGTCATGCGCGATCGTCAGCTCACTCGCTCCTCGTCCACCTCCCCGTAATTGGCTTCACTCATCCAATCAACGGTCGTGTCTCCTCCATCTCCCATCTTCGTGAAATTCAACACGATCTGGGGGTGGTTCCAGACCACATGCTGGGGCCTCCAACACATGCGCATTCCATGAAATTGAAACCTTCCACTGACCTTGTCCGGTCTATGTGGAATTCGCGACATCGAATCTGTCTAAAAAAGTAAAATTACAGGTTTCAGTTGGATGAAAACATTGAAATCTGACTGCAGAATTTTTGTATTAGAATTTGACTTTGACAGCGTCACCGAAGCAGACATCCTGTATGTTGCATTCCTTGGTTGCCTTAGGCGCCCAACGCATTTCTTGGCACGATTCAGCCAATCATCTTTCGGTTCAGTCATGGAATTATAGAAGTCCGCCAATTCACTTAAACAATTCTTGCTTATGCCGAGCACTTAGTCTTTCCCGGTAGTACTTTCAGAATGCACACTCCTCCAAGTCGATCGGAATTTTCAAAAAGCCTGTCGAAAAAAAACAAAGAAATTGGCATCATGTGGTGCCCACAGGCAGGACTGCTGGCCCATTAACAGAATGTCGTGATTGGCTGGATACTTGCGCATTCCAAGGTCACCTCCCTTGTGTCCAATCTGTGTGGGCCGGTGCTTGTCGTCGATGGTACTTGCAGTAGCCACGGTTCAGGATACGAAGCAGAGAAATTAATTTCTCCTTCGCCTACTTTTTCGTCTGACTTTCGAACTAACACTTTCATTTCCCGCCGCGTCATCATCGACATTAGCGTGAGTAAAAAACGTCTACTGTGTCCGCCTTCAGGGCATAATTTTACCTTCATTTGAATAAAAATGGATGCGAATTTAAATCTTTTTTGAAACATTATCATAAACAACACGCATGGTTGCCTTATTTTGAACTTCCAACGTGTGTTATTGCCATTTTTTCGTCGATGCAGTGTCTAGATATTTGTCACAATAGCGGATTATTCATTGCTAAAATTTTCTAATAAAGTCATTCTTAATCTTTAAAAATGCAGTAAAATGGAGAAGCTGATTAAGTTCTCTTCTATAAGTACACAAAAGAAGAGTGCGTTCCTTAACCCATAAAAATTGCGCAAAAATATATTTTAAATGAACCAATTAGCTCGTATTTGTAATTAAAAATTAATTAGCTGGCAATGAGTGAAGAAGTGTTGCAGTTCTCATGGCTAAGTGTCTGACTAATTGGCACGGGTAACAAGCAAACACAAAACAACCAATTAGCAACGAGTAATGATTTAAATTGGTGTGGTGCCTCAGAGACAGATTAAAGTTCATTAGAGAACTTGCTATTGAGGATTACCACACAAGTCGAACTGAATCAAAATTTTAAATTTAAATTGTTAAATTCCCGTTAGTTATTTTGTCAAAGAGAACAGCCAATTCAGCGAACTAACCCAGCAACTGGTAGCCGTGTACAGCATGCTGCTCACACTGATTGGTCATTGGATACCCTTGAAAACTGTCCAATAAAAATTATCGACTAATTGCTTTTGGCAGTTATTTGGTGGAAATAAAATGGCATCTATCATTGTCTGGTGTAGCACAATCTTGCACTACAATCTAAGTTGTTTGAATATTTCGACCTACATAATTTCCTGTTAATTCTTATTAAATTTTGCCACGAAAATGATAACAGATTATGCGCAATCAGACTACGTACCTCAAAAGTCCATTTTAAATTGTTTAATTATTAGTGTTTTCTGACTGAATTTTTGTCGCAATTTGATTATTTTTTTCAACAGAACAGTGGTTAAATTTACTTGAATTTAAGCCTTAAAATATAAGAAATTATTTTATTACCTCAATTCGAATCAGCCATTTATGCCTTAGCCAAAATTTAGGTGCTACAGCCCAAATGACCCCTGATATTTGACCCCAGTCCTAACCTCAATGACAGATACGTCACTGGGTGGCAGTTTGAGGTTTGTAAACCATATATGCAGTAGTATCTTTGAAAAAATGTGATCCTGTAACCAGAAAAATCAATTCTGAAATGTGATTGGACAATTGGTCATATCCTTTGAAAAAGCGATTTCCGACATCAAAATTACTATCTCTCTGTAACAAAAAGAATGCTAACGCCAATATGCATGAAATTCGACTCTGGAATTAAATGGCATCCCTAATTTGATTTTGCTACACAGACTAACCAATTATCGCGCGCCTTTAGGCGAGTCAAATTTAAGTGTGCGTTGGTGAAAAGAAATCCCTCGTTAATAAATAAAGCAATATTGGTGCTAAGGTGTTTTATAAAGGTCACCAGTGTGTACACAGTTCGCGTCAATTGCTTTCGTTGTCGATTTGGTGAATCTGCGCATTGTGATTGGTCTATGTTGGGTGCATTCAGTAGACACAGGTAAATACACAGATTATCCGGCCGATTGCGTTCACCTGCGCGCATTATTTATTCAGGCAAATTATTTCAAGTGTGTTGACTTAGGAATGCATCTTCAAGTTGTGGCTAAACTAATATATTGTTACTATTTTATAATAAGTAGAAAGTATTGTTCAAATCTTGTAGATGGATTGGTCACAAATGATGGAGCCACAAATGCTAGTTGGTCTTGGCGCTTTCGCATTTGGAGCACTGAATTTCTACATGCGCCAACGACACAACAGGCAGGAGCTGGTTGATGAGGGAAGGGAAGATCGCCCAGCTGATGAGGGAACCTCCACGTTCAACGTGGATGACAGTCAAGCAGACTTCACGCAAAATACTGAGGAGGCCAAAGGTGAGAATTGAAGCAAAACTAATTTTTCTCGAATGACGGTATTTAGTGGCGTTTCAAACCGAGACGCATTATGAAAGATACAAATAAGCAGCCGAAAAAAGGTAAAATTGTAATTGTGAATGTGGAAACTATTTCGGTGGAATTTACACCTTTTGCAACCATTTCCCGTTGTTGGATTGGTTGGTTTAAAAATACCGCAAAAGTTAGCTAATCACATGCATACCTTGTAAAACCATTTTAGTTTCATTCTGTTTACATAAACACCACTTTCAACGACAGTTCTTACAGCATCAAATACCAGTTATTTTATAGATTTTTGCATAGAAACATGCATTCTCTCTAAAATGATTACCTTTATCACACTACTTAAACTCCGTTTCAGTAGACTTGACCTCTAGGAGTTGAGCCTACAACGAATACTCCACTATTAGTAGAATTAATGTTAAGTGGTTAGCGACGTATTAATCGTTGTGTTGAGGCCCATGGCAGGGGGCCACTACGTCAATCTAGGCCGATTACGTTACCCTGAGTACCCTCGAAGATAAGGAAGACCGGAGAGGATGAGGCACAACCGTTTCTTAAGTGGAGTAGTAAAGTACAGGCGTTTGAATGCCCGCACGGATAGAGCGGGTGGTGGTGGTGGTGATGGTGGTGGTGGTGGTGGTGGTGGTGATGGTGGTGGTGGTGGTGGTGGTGGTGGTGGTGGTGGT